CGACCTTCGTGGTTCTAACAATGCTGGCGCTCAGAGCATATCAAGAGAGGGTCAAGAATATCTCCTTTCGAGAGGTGTGAGGATTTTACGTTTTGATTGCTGTTGTAGTACCTTTTGATTCTGGCGAGAGGTAACTTAGCTCTACCGTACAGCCATTTGACCCACATGAAATTTCCTAAACGTCGTTTACCCCAGAAAATGAGAAGGAACTATTTAAGGCTAGAAATCGGTCCTGGTCCAAGAGCTTGCCCAAACTGTACAGTATGTCACTGGTAAAACCAGAATCGCATGCCTTGGAAGAGCACCTTCTGCCATTCGGGAGAATTCGAATGCACCTTTCCCATGCCCTATGAGAGCAGATGCTATATTTCTTTCTCATGAGGTTTTTGGCTTGAGACAGTAGAGGACTCTAAGCCCCAGGCCACATTGGCATCTCAGTGAAGCAGGTAAATGCCATCTATTACACGAAGTCCAGCAAAAGCCTATCAAACACACAGAGACGAGGCCGTAATCCTGCTCTCTATGTTTGTCCAACAATCATATCGATTGTAAGTTGTGGGCGTAGTCGCACACGAATTCGCGGGCGGTGGACATCCTGCAGCAACGACTGATGCTGTCACGCCTTTATTAACCTTGTCAGTGGAAGAGAGACATTGGAACCATTGCATTGTTGTCTTCGGTGAGAGTAAGTACAATACAAGAGGAGACCAAACACAGTCTACGTTGACAGGGTTCTGCACCAATGCATGCTTGTGTTGTTCTCCCCCATCCCTTTGTTCGAAGCAAATGCACCGTATTTTTCTTGCACTGCTGTCTGGGTTGCGTGTGCTCCACATATCTAGTGCATCTATTATACAGTACCTTCGAAGGTACCTTTTGGTGCTGTACCTTGCAATAGATGGATTACCGTCGCTGCTGCAATATAGATTTCAATTGAAATAATAATGGAGTGTATGGCCCCGTCTTTGCAAATTGTCTCCTGTATTTCTGAAGTTGTGCTGTATTCAGAACGTGTTGAAAGGATTTGGACTTCAGTTAAAAAGTTATGTCCAGTGAATAGAATTAGAAACCAGTGCTCGAACAACTAGAGCGGATTGGTCATCAGCCTGGCATGACGCATGGCTTCCACACTGCTATTTTATAATCCTGTTCATAGCGCGCGTTCAGTTTGAAAAACGAAGGGATCCCTCTTTCAAACTGGGCGTTGTCCGTAAAACTGATCCTCGAGGGTTTATATCCTGCCACCAATGTGTGCACGTAGCCCCCCTTCTCTGCGAATCTCCCTTATGAAACTTAACCTGGTTGGACATCTGCCCTACTGACCCAGTCTATCACTTGGCGAACGACAATGTTGATAAAAACGTTATTGCGCCACTTCTCCGGGATCACTCCAGCATGAGTACCCTCACTTGCTGAGACCATACGAAGGGCGATGAGGTCTTTCCTCTTTCTGTAACCAGCTGCCGCGTTGCGAAGTGCACACTCAATGATTTAAGCATTGCGTCAGAGCAGTCCGCACTCGTGGATCGCTAGAGTTTAGCGTTCATAGTGCATACCATATGGTGCTTAAATGCTTCCGTTTTTTGACTTTCGTGCTCTTCGCCGTTCATCACCTTGATCCCAAATGCTGAGAAATACCAACTGAGATGTCATGTTGCTCACTATTCTAAAAAAGGACTTTGTGTACCCTTCATGAAGGGTGGGAGGTAGCAACAAGGAATGAGCAAATCGTCAATTGCAACGTGGCTTGCACAAGTCAGTCATAGGTCGCAGAGTGTGGGGATATTTTTAGGTACGATTTCTGGGTACTGTACCTGAAGGTACAGTACAGCACAGCCAACGATTATGACAATACTGTAGAGGTCGGACCATCTTTTAAATTTCTTCCGGCATTTAAGTACAAAATTTGTCTGCGCTTTTTCCAGGTACAGTTACGGCGTGGGTGCTGTCTGTCCGACCAAAATGACGCAATGCTATACCACGGAGAGAGAAGGCTCCGTCCAAGACCCGTCTGGAGTGTTCATGCTGCCGTTGAACATCACAGTTGGAGAAGGTACTTGATACTTGGGTGAGCCCCATGACATCTAGCTTTAGGTTCCATTCGCGCCTCTCCATCATACACTGCACATACGGAAACATGGTTTTGCGGACACATGAGTTTTTTGATTCTCGAAGATGGTCGGCTGCATCACGGACAAAATCCTGTAGAACAGCATGTGTCAGTGGGATTTATGCTCCAAGTGCACTCCGAGCCTGCCCGACCTGCTCTTGATCAAAAAGGGCAAGGGCCTGATCGAGCTCGTCCCTGGCTGCATCAATAGCCATCTGGCAAAACTTCAAAACTTCGGAGCGAGGTCTCTCCTTTGTCGCCGTGGCGTCGAAGTATTCGACGACCTGGTTGAGGTATTCGAATGCCTCTCGAGAGTGTCGTTCCGCCGTTTCGGCGGTCTGCTTGTCTAACCAAAGCGCACTCTTCCTTGCGCTTCCCAAAACGTCATTTCCGGTCAACACGACTTTGATGACTCTTCGGACATCACCATTTGTCCCCTTCGACACATCGTCAGAAAGGTCTCGGAGAGAATCATGCACGCGCACAAGGGGGACTAAGCTCGATGAAAGTGGCTCCTTTGGCCTTCGTCTCGCCAGTGATGAGGCCGGTAGCAGAGGTAGGGCGATGGCGAATGCGAACGCTTGCAGTACAGCCTTTCGTGATACTGGGAGGGGTTGTGTGGGGCGTTTGCCTTCAATAGACATAGACGTGAGCTGGAGAGGAGTGATTAAAGGATGATAACTGTGGTGCCGGAGGCGCGGAGGTAATGACGGGCTTTGAAATGCGTGTGTTGGCTTTGCCTTGGTGTGTGATGTGACCATTTTTTCGGTGAGGTAGCTGAGCAGAGGGGCACAGCGCCGCCCCAAGTTCCAAAGTACCGCAACGGGGACGGGCGATGGGCTTTGAAGAGGCAAGGGCGGGGAGGCGGGTCTCAGTGGCGGAAAGCACTCGTGAGAAGAAGACTCCTTGTGAGCTCGAGGACATGAGCACGGAGATAGAGGGAGAGCAGAAGCATTGGCTCTGGCAGGTACATTACTGTACACATGTAGGAGCATGTTTGGTGAGTTTGGGAAAATGTGAAAGCGGCCAATGGAAATGCAAAATCGGAAAAGTTAAATGCGTTTTATGAAGAAAAACATTTAAAAAATATGCCGAAGGCCAGGAGGGATCGACAGACATGATTGGGTCCTGGACAGGTCGCAGGACCAGACCGGTGGATGAGGATCACGATCGTGATCAGAGTCCACCGACTGGCGTTGCTGCCATCGGCGGCCAGACACCGTATTGTACCCTTTGGTACAGTATATCCATCACTCTGATTGCATCGGAAGCTCCGATGCACATTATCATGTTAAGCCACCCTTCCCGTTCTCCTCCTCTTCCGTAGCCTTCGATAACATCTGCTCATGTTCCTCAAGTTCCATGCTCTAAGCTGGCCATTGCTATTCTTTCTCAAAAAACCTAAACTTTTTCCGATGCACCGATATCCGTGCAACGGGAACCCTTCTGCATGAATGCAACACTAGAACCCAGCCTGTCTCGAAAGTCAGACATGGTCGGCCGGTCGTCACGCTTCCCCATATAAACGCAGCAACGGTCGCCCCCGCCACTACCCTCGAACCCTATTGTATAACTCTTCAGTTCAAGACAACCTTCTACAATTCCAGATCATCCATTCGCGATCTACCTCTACATAATTATGGCTCCCTCCCATGAATCTTCCTCGTGTGCCTTGTCAGACTTGACCTCTGTCCAAACGCAGTTCCGCATTCGCACAGAAAGGGGCGTCGCTTTTCATGCACAGTGAGCACGTGCGCATCCAAGAAGCTCTTTCTTCCAAACCGATTCCCGCATTGTTTGCATTTATACGGTCGTATCTTGGCATGCACCATTCGCATGTGTCGGTTTCTGTCACTTCCTCGCCGAAATCGCGCCTCACACTGCGGGCATCCGTAGGCCCTACTCTGTCCAGCCACCGTAAACGTCGTGGGGCTCTTCACCACCCTGCCTCCAGATGTCGGCGGCAGCGGTGCCATTACTCTCTGCGGGTTTGTGCTCCCGGCCGTCATTCGCGCGTCCGTAGCAGCGGGGTAAACTGAATTTGACGAAGTGGCATGCACGGATCGCCAATGCATGTTCAAGTGACCCGGCTTGCGAAACCGCACGCCGCAAACAACGCAAGGGATGTTCATCTTGCAGATTTCGTCGCTGGTGGGGCGATCGCTGCGATTGGGCGGCGGGGAGGAGGTCTGTCGCGAAGCATGATGCCTAGAATGCTCAGAGGCGGAGGAGCTTCGTGCATCTGCTGCAGAGGTGCTTGAGCTGGCCATGACCGTGGCCCAGAATCGGTCAGCGGACCGAGGTGGACGAGAGCGGTGCGTAGTGGATGCGACCGACGTAGAGGAAGCCGAAGGTGGCGCAGGTAGAGGACATGACGAACGAAGGGAGAGGAGAGAAGCAGCGCATGCAGCCGGAAGGGAAGACGAACGATTGTTTGGGATAGAAGGTGCTGCAGGCATTGGGACAACTGTGACACTACCGCAAGTTGAAGATGCTGATGAAGCGGTTGGAGAGGAAGGATGGATTCGTGCTGGATAGGGAACGAAGGATGGGGAGGAGGTGTGCATCGAGGGCAATTGTGCGTATTGCATGACTTTAGAAACTGAGATGAGATGGGATTTTAGGGGAGTGGAGGTGTGGGATGAAGGGAGTGGGAAGACAAGGAAGGCTACGGAAGGGCGGGTTAACAGTGCTTGAGAAGATGGGAGGTAAGCAGTCGATTTGCGTTGGGAAACTAGGCAGGGGGTTTGTAAGGCCACGTTTACCGCTCAGCCATGAGGGAGAGGGGCAATTGCACAATCTTCTCGGTGCATGCCTGGGGTTGGATGGTGCAATCGTCAAGGACACGTGAGGAGTGGCGGGCGGAGCGGGGCCGGACATGACGGCTGTGTTAGTCGACGGGACTCCAAGACCCTGCGCCGAGAATGTGCGAAGAGGGTATGCGATAGGAACTTGTTGAGGGCTTCGGCCCGAGCGATGTAGACAAATTGCGTTGTCTTACGAGCACGTGCTGAGATTTAAAGAAGACATATGCGGAATACTGTACAGATGTACGTGCTTCACGAGCCCTGCTACAAAACATCTCGATATTCCTTTGGCTGAATTGCAACAAGCTCCTGAGATAAAACCCTCGAGGGGAAGCATGCAATCTGCCGTCTGCGCACCACCTTACAACAACAGACTCGCCACGCCCCGCCTTTAACTCTTTGCTGTCACGACTCACTCCCGCTTTACTCCATCCGTATGTTGCAGCCTCGCTATACAATCCCAAGCCAACATCTCCGACAAATCCACCATCTAAGTTACAACGCGCAAAATCCATGGACCAAGACTCGTCATACCGTTTACCGCCTTCCCTCAAAACCCCTGTCCCACAGGGCCATACTCGTGCCCTCCAACAAGGCGACAACGGGTGCACTGCGCACGACATCACTCGTCTATCCGCACTCGCTTCGCCTAGCACAAGAGTTTAGAGCACCTCTCCCACTCACACCCCTCCCTCCCCATGTTCTCCCCTCATACAAATGGCGGCTGATAGCAAGCCTGCTCGTTGTACATGCTCCTTCGGATCCACTCCACGGATTTATAGGAGCCTAGTACCTTCTTCGATCCTCAGATGTAACGACATGTGTACGATACTCTGACACACGCTTTCAATCTGTGGTAACATACCGCTACTTATCCTTCTTCGCTCGCTTGCGCGGCTGCACAACAGTAGCCTCCTTCGCCTCTCCCGCTCGCTTTTCACCCTGCTTGAGTAACGTCACGGCCGGCATTATAGCTTCCTCAAATCCACTCAGCTCCTCTCTCAGTTCCTTGATCGTTTCTTCATCACTCTCGGCATCCTCAAACGCACGCACGCTCTCCTTGAGAGCCTCAACGGCCTTGACAGCTGCATCTCGTCTCATTGCCAAATATTGTTTGTAAAGAACCTCGGCCTTCCTCCGACCACTCAAAAGCGTGCTCGCAATATCATACTCTCTCGAAGCCGCTTCCCACGCATCGCCTTCAAGCAAGAGATCACCTAGACAGCCATGCACATCCCCCAAGCGGCTGTTGAAGCGATCGGCACCTCCCTTGACGAGTCTCTCGAAGGCGACCCTGGCGGCTTCCAATTGGGTCCACGCAAGTTCCTCATTATCATCCTCATCCTCCAAATCCTCTTCCGCCGGGGCAGCATCGCCCTTCGCTTTTGCGCCAAGAACGCCTTGCCTTTGGCCCGCTTTTCTGACAAAGCCCAACAACGACTTCCCGTAGCCAGTGAGCAGCTCTGCAAAGCCCGCGGATTCCTGTGCCTCATCCGGCACACTGGTCAAGAGCAATACAAAGAGACGCGTAGCCTCCTGTAGCATGACACCAGCCTTGTCTTCATTGGTGGTCACGGCGACGCCGCCGCCAACCTCGGCCAGGCCTGACGCCAAAGTGAGGGCCATGGCGCGACGAAAGGTGGCGGCGGAATCTTGGCCGAGGAGCTCAGTCACATCAGCACTGGATAATTCAATTTCCTTGGAGTCCAGCTGAGATACCTTAGGTTCGGGGATACTGTCCGCTTCCGACAGCGCTTCTGCGACAGCAGTGACGGCCGCGTCGGCGGCTTCGGAACTCGAGGGGCCGGCGGGTTTCGTTGTTGTTGTTGTAGAATGGGTGGTTTCGGGCTTGGTAGTGTCGGTCTTGGCAGAGTCATTTGACTCGTTTGCGTTGTGGCCGGCTTGTTGCGCCAGTTGATCCTCGGCTTGCTTGACTACGTCCTCTACGTTAGAATCTGGGTCACTCTGAGGACTTTTACCCTGTGACACATCTTTGGGATCCTTCTGTTCATCGGGGGTGGTGGTGGAAAGCTGGGACGCGGCAGGTCGGGTGGAGGAGTCAGGGATGTTGGGACTTGGAGGGGTGAGCGTTTCGTGGTTCGACGTGACGGTGTGTTGAGGCGGAACGGAGACTTCGACTGGTGCTGAGGCGGCGTTCTCAGACATGTTTGGAGTGTGAAGAAAACGGAAGGGGAGTGGGACGGGATGTAGCGACGATGAGCAATGGCGGGAGATGGGGCGGTTTGGATTTGAGTTTTGGAATCGTGTTGATGAAGAAAGGCTCTGAGTACTAGTTTTCGCAAAATTTGAGCGCCCAAATCGGATACAGTATAAAAAGTTTAAAAGTAAAAAGGATGGCAGTTCGCATCGGGCAAAATTCCCGATTTCGTTAAGGCAATACTTTTTGGGAAATAAAAGGATTGTCTTATTTAGAGTTTCCAGAATTATATCTACTGTACATTATTAAAGCCTTGTTGATATCGTACACGTGGCCACAACTTCAGTAGATCTGCAAGCGTTTCAAAGAAATTCTCCTTGCCCTTGCAAGATCACACGTCTTCCTCTCCCAATAAACACATAAACATAAACATAAACAGGTGGCTCTTCGAGCAGAAGAGGATTCGATGTGCTCTTCTGTGTCTTTCAAATCTGACGACGCACACCCACCTCTACCGTGGCCCCATCACTGTCCAAACCAAACATAAAAAAAAAAACACCTCTAGCATTTGTATTTTCGAAATCGCTCAACGGAAGCATCAGCACTTCCACCTTCTGCAGAGTTACGCACATGTCTTGTCGCTTTGCAGGACGGGAGCCCGGCAGCCGTAGAAGATCACTCAGCTAATCCCTTTTGGTATCCTCCCTTATCATACCATTGTCTCCCCGAGTAACCGCAAGCTGAGCTTGCGAAACTCCCACTCCCTTGCGCGGGACACTCTCTACAACGCTTGACGTCTATCACAATCCCGCAAATATTCTACACCACACCTTCAGCCTGTCAGGCCTCACCGTCAGAATCCACCTGACTCCTTTACCTGAGCATTGAAACCCAAGGTGCACCTGGATGCATCCTTGTCACCGTCAATCACAACGCTCAGGTCAAGGCTCGAGTGCCTGTATATTTCCGAGTCCTCCCTGCCATGACATCCTGTTCCTCACCTCAACAACTTTTACTCGATCCTTTCACATGCATCCAGATCATAAATCAAGTGCAACTGCTCAGCGATCATCCGTGCGCATTCTCTCGCCGGAAACAGCTGGTACACCAATCTTAAATAGGCACACAGAGATTACACCATATGCGCATGTTTCTGATAGTATCGCATGAATCGTAAGAGTTGCGGTACCCTTTGCACTCCCATCTTCGTACAGTCTCGCTTACTCACGCCATCACGCCCCGAGCTTGCGACCAATTCCCTCACGCTTTCCATGCCGGCGATGTCGCAAGTAGCCACGGCACTCTTATCTATAATCTCCACTTGCTTGCTGCCACCGCAGTTTCTTCAACCACTTGGCCTGTCCAATCGCGGAACGAGAGAACAGCCACGTCTGTTTACAACGTTTCAGCTCACTTTCTCCCCATGAGGAGATATGGACCACAGAAAAGCCCGTACTTGTAGTAGGAGAAGTTGTATGTGAGAGCTGAGGCGTTGGCATGCCTGGTAGGTGTCTGGGTTATGGGATAGCGAGAAAAAAGAGTGGTTGAATCGATCGAGATGGCCACACAGATTGACGAAGGCGAGCACAAAATGTAATCTTCATTGTCCCATGATCTATTTCATTTTGACCTCGCCCAAATTGTTGCCTTTCTGATAGCGTTGCTCGTGCATAGTAGGTGTAATTTGAAGTCCGAAGGCGAAACCTTTTTTCTGAATTCGAGAGTGAAAGCTGACCGCATAAGCATTCGCAACTTTATTTGCCTTCGCATTGCAAAACAAGAACATGTACTTTCACTTAATGCAACACCCAGTGCATCGTTCGAAATATGAGCGCTCATGTAAAACCTAACCCTTTCAGTTGTGTCCTTGTTAACTAGATTTTCCTCATACACAACTTACACTCATGTATTACATATTTGATACACATGTACGACATATTTGTGCTGCCATTATCTAGAAGATACGTTGAAAGGAGTGACAACCCAGAAGTAGTGCAGAGGAGTCACATCTCGAGACAGGGCTTCCAACGTTTACAAGTGAACAAAGTATTGAATGCCTGGGATTAGAAAGACAGGCTGGTACATGCCAAGCCTTGTGTCCCATCAGCATCTTGCATCATCTCTTTCTATGCATTCAGAGCATTGAAGATGGTCTCTTTGCTAGATGTGAATTCCTTTGCGTCCCATGTCGGAATACTGAGGCGTAATCAGAGGCTTCAGCATACTCTCTTTCGCTTTCCACGCATCAAATCCTTCATGCTTTCCCATGTTCCAATTCGAATGGTATGCATTGTGGTTTTGCAAGAAGCGTTCGGGCATCTGCAATCACTCTCGAAAAGAGGTTCACGACAGTCTTTCACTTTATGCTATAACGAACTAGCGTGCTCCACGAATAATCCAAATGCGTATAAACGAGGAGTATGTCGGTTTGAACCCTGATCCCTTCCGCGTAAAACACAAGCATCGGTTCTACAGCATTTCAAGATTCTTATCTTCACCGATTCCGTTCACCTTCACTCAATTTTTCACCCGAAAGTTTTAAAAACGTTCAGATCAATACTCTCGCCATGTCTCAAACCAAAACGTTTTCTGCAATTACCGCAGTATTTTTCGTCTATTCAATGGTTTCACTAGTAAACTCGGCAGCCTTGAACAAAAAATACTGTCGTCGGGAAGAAGGTGTGTCCCGATGTGTTGAAGAACCTCTCATGGTCGACGACGAGGATCTGTGGTGCCCTTATCGAGTCTGTGGGCCAAGCTACGTTGCAGCTCCGGAATGTCCAAGCGGAAGTGAACAGGCAACTCACAAGTGTAAAGTGACTACGGTAGATGACCCGATTCACGTATGTGTGGCAGGAAAAGTTCACAAGACTATGAAACTTCCTGTCGGCTGCGACAATGCGGACCCAAATTCGGACACATGTGAGAGTGAGGCCCGTGTGTGTGCCTGTGAACAAGTTAATCCATCACGGACTGTGCTTTCACCAGAATTCAGAGTCTATCCGGATTGCTAGGAATGTGGTCGCTTTTGTTAAGGAGGGGTCAGCTTAGGTTGCTGAGGCCTTCAAAAAACTGATTGAGGCATACTTTGAAAACAGTAGAGAAACAGGTAGGGAAGCGCTCTAATGTAGTATCTTTTTTAAACTCGTTCCACGGTGAGTAAGAGCAAATGAGATTTTATCTTCATTGGAAAAATTCATCTAGTTTGTTAGATTAGCCTCTGCCTTCTATGTGACTTGTTCTTCACTCGACGACATCTAGGGAGTGAGCTCTAAGACTGAAGCCGTTGACTTTAAAGTCCGTGAACAGACACAGTTTACATACTATAAACAGATCTACGGTACAAGTGTTTACTTGTCCACGTGAGTCAAAAAAAAGATCAACAGTCACATACCAACACCCAAATGCGATACAGTGCACACATTTCTGCAGTTAAACCTAGGCGTATAAACTGGCAGAGATGGTGTAGTGTACGTATGTATGACATAATAATCTTCTGTTAGTCATTTGTCCTCGGCGTTTCCCCGGCAAAGAACAAATCCTTGTCCACCGTTGCCCCGTTCTCAAAGCTTGTGTCCGTATCATCGCTCTTCTGCTGTCTGTCCCACATTCCTTTGAAGGTCCCGTTGGGAATGCTCAGAAGCTCCGAAAAGGTGCCCTCTTCAACCTTTTTGCCGTACCTCATGACGACAATGTGATCAACGTTCATGATGGTGCTGAGCCTGTGAGCGACAATAATCCTTGTGCGATCCACGCCCAACTTTCGAAGGGCCTCAGAGACCTCCATTTCGGTAAGGGTGTCTGCAGGGACGAAATTTGAGAAAAAGGTTCAAAATTAAAAAAAGTGGGAGACGAACAAAGCACGAGGACTATGGTTAGACACACGGCAGGTTTTTTGGCCGGGAGTTGTCCACATTCGAAAAGGTCGCGATGACAAACGTACCGAGAGCACTTGTACTTTCATCCTCAATGATGATCTTGCTACCCTTGAGAAAAGCGCGGGCGACGGACAGTCGTTGCCGTTCGCCTCCCGATAGTCGCACACCGCGCTCTCCGACTAGGGTCTGATAATTGTGCGGTGTCCTCATGATGACGTCATGTATTGACGCTGCTTTCGCTGCAGCGACAACGTCTTCGTCTGAAGCTGAAGGTCTTCCATATCGGATGTTATAGGCGATGGTATCTGTCAATTAGGCAACACAGCCGGCATGGGAAGACGGACGAATGAGTGAAAAGAGACGTTAGAACATAAGCTTCGCAGGCGCAGAGGCAACGGAGTTGGAGATGAGGTGTCTCATACCATTGAAAAGTGCGGTGTCCTGTTGGAAAAAGAAGGCGGCGATAAAGAAAAACCCCAGAACGCACATGTTAGCGATCCTGCATACGCAAAGCTCGACGCGACGTTAACCAATGGCTTGTTCTCAACCTACCTGCGGCACAATGCTCACCGCCTGCCGCAGCGACGCGAGCGTCGCCTTTGAAATGTCTTGTCCGTCGATGGAGATGGACCCCCCCGACAGATCATACAGCCTGTACAGCAAACGCGTAGCGGTGCTTTTCCCCGAGCCGCTAGACCCGACCAAAGCCAGCGACTTGCCCGCCGGCACAGTGAACGACAACTTGTTCAGCGCCAACTTCCTCTTTGGTGGCTTGCTCTTCGCGTCCTCCCCGCGCAATGAAATGGGCTTTTGCTCCTTGCGCGTAAAGCCGAGCGTGTCGTCCGGCTCTGGATACTGGAACGAGACGTTGTCAAAACGAATCTCGCCGCCCGCGACCCTCAGGGGCTTTGCGTCTGTAACGTCGGCGATCTTCGGCGCGCGCTGGAGTATCTCGAACAAGTTCTGCAAGTCAATCAGGCTCTGCTTGACTTCGCGATACTGCCATCCCAGAAAGTTGAGCGGGACCCAGAGCTGCTGCAGCATGGTAGCGAGCATGACGACGGAGCCGACGGTGAGCGTTCCGGCGATGACGCCATTGGTGGCGAGGAAGAGGTTGATGGTGAGGCCGACGGTGAAGATGGCGCCCTGCCCCATGTTGAGGTACGAGAAGAGCCACTCGTTGCGGATGGCCGTTTTCTCGTACTTCTGCAGCGACTCGTCGTAGCGCGCAAACTCAAAACCGTCGTTGTGAAATGCTTTGACGGCCTCGACGTTGACCAGCGAGTCGGTGAGCTTAGCGCTCGACTCGTTCTCCACGGCGTTCATCTGCGCGCGCACCTTGCCTAGTTGGTCGTTGATGACCAGCGTCCACGCGATGAAGGCCAAAAATGTCGCGACAGTGACTGCCACATACACCAACGAAAAGCGGTTGAGCAGGACGATGCACACCAGCAGTAGCTCGAACAGGCTCGGCAAGAAAGCGAAGAGCATACCACGAAAGATGGTAAGCACGCTGCGCGTGCCCCTGTCGACGATGCGCGTCAGCGCGCCTGTCTGGGTGGTGTTGTGAAACGCGGCCTCGAGGGAAAGAATGTGCGCAAACGACGAGGCAGTAATGGACCTTCCAATGCGCTGGCCCGCCTTTGCGAAGAAGGCGTTGCGCATCTCGTGGGACGTGGACGCCATGATCTTTGCGGCGGCATGCAGGAGGATGGCCGCGACGATAGGTCTCAGCGAGGCTGCTGCGGCGGCTACGTGCGCGGCGGCGGAGGCGGAGGTGGAAGCGGAGGCGGAGGCGGAGGCGGCCATGAGGCTGTCGACGACGCTCTTGAACAGGAATGGGACTGCGATGCCGATGAGCTTGGAAGTGACGATGGCGGCGATGGCGAGGAGGAAGCGGCGCGCGATGAACGGCTGGGCGGCGCACATGGAGCGGTAGTAGCGGACCAGGGCGTGTAGGGAGGACTTTGCTAATTGGGCGGAGAAGGGGGTGCGCGGAGGGTCTGCGAAGGAGGAGGCGATGCTGGTGGGGTCCTCGGGCAGCGGGGAGGGCGCCGGGGTGGCGGGGTACTCGGGCGTGATGGCCGTGCAGACGGTGCGGAAGGGGGTCAGGTTGTGCGTGACGCGGGGGAGGGGCGAGGGGAGGGCAGGGAGGAAGCGCGAGCGGCGCAGGTGGCGCGGGCAGAGGCGGAGCGAGCGCGTCTGCACGCGGATGAACGGCGGGTGCGCGAGGAAGGCCGCGGCGGGCGGGACGGGGGAGGGGCGTGCGCGCTTCGCCATGGCTGGACGGTTGTGCGGGGAGCGGGGAAGGAGGGGGGAGGGCGGAGGGAGGAGGGCGGAGGGCTGGGGTGCAGGGGCTTAGAAGGGAGGGAGCTGTTGTCATTTGCTTCCATCCGAAGGGGAGGAGCGTGAATTGAAGGAAGAAGGAATGGGGGGCGAGCGAGGGGGGGTGAATTGGTCGGATGGCGGCGCCTCCTCAGCGGCAGCCACACGTTTACAAATTTGCATGACGTGACGCCGTAGGCCTCCGCTGCTCCCTTCTGCACCGGCGGCACAACGCTCACCGCCGCGCCAGCTTGGCCACCTCCTCTCTCACCGCGTCGGCCAGCGCCTCGCGCCTCACCACGCGCTCCTCCTTGGTGTCCAGCACTTTAATCTTGACCACGCCGTCGCGCAGCTCGTCCTCGCCGACCACGGCCATCACCGGCACGCCGGTGCCCACGGCCTGCGCCACCTGCTTGCCCAGGTTCCAGTTCTCGTTGAAGCAGAACTCGGCCGCCACGCCCGCGCGCCACAGCTCCGCGCACAGCCGCAGCCGCGCCTCCATCGTCCCCTTCCCCACCGTCCCCACCAACACGTCCGTGCTTGTCGCCCGTACCTTGCCCTTCCCGTCCTGGCTGCGAGCCTTGGCCTCCTCCTCGCCCGCTTTCACCATCAGGTTCATGATCCTCTCAATCCCGAGCGAACACCCCACGCACGGCACGCTCCGGCTCTTGAACATGCTCACCAACTTGTCGTACCTGCCCCCAGCCCCGATCGACCCCAGGTTGATCTTCCGGTCCACCAGCACCGCCTCGAAGATCACCCCGGTGTAGTAATCCAACCCCCTTGCCAGCGACAGGTCGAACGACAGCCGCTGCGGCATCCCCTCGCGCATGCACTCTACCAGGTGGAACAGCTTCTCCATCTCGTCGAGCGTCTTCCCGCAGCTCTCCGCCAGCGCATCGTGCTTGCGCAGCTCGCCGAGCACTTGCAACGGCTCGCCGCTCATCTTGACAAACTCCCCGATCCTGTCAGCAGCCTCCTCCGCGAGCCCCTTCTCGACCACCATCTCCTTGCGCACGTTGTCCCACGTCTCTTTGTCGAGCTTGTCGACGGCCGAGCAGATCGTGCGCAGTTTTTCGTCGGGCACGCCGCACACGCGGAAGATCGCGTCGAGGATCGCCCGGTTGCTCACCTTGATCCTGTAGCTCCCGATCGTCTTGGCGTGGAACTCGCTCTGCGCCGCGAGCGCGTCGAACATCTGCATCATCACTACCAGCACCTCGGCGTCGGGCACCATCGCGGGGTACGTCCCCGCGATGTCGAAGTCGCATTGGAAGAACTCGCGGAACCGCCCGCGCTCCATGGCCGGCCGGTCGCGCCGATACACCTTGCCGATGTGATACCGCTTGATCTGCGACACGTTGTTGGAGGCGATGTACCGTGCGAACGGCACAGACAGGTCGTAGCGGAGCGACAGCTTCTCGCCTGTTTCGGAGGACATGTCGTCGGAAAGGTCGTAGATTAGCTTGGAGTCCTCGCCGTACTTGTTTTGTAGCACGTCGCGTAGCTCGAAGACCGGCGTGTCGATGGACACCGCGCCGTGCGAACGGAAGACAGAGGTGATTAGAGTGAAGGCCCGCTCCCGGATGGCCATCGCCTCCGGGCCGATGTCGCGCGTGCCTTTCGGAGGCTTGGCGATGATTTTGGGAGCCATTTTTGTGCTGGGGAGGTGGTTAGTTGAAGGTGGGTGCGTGGATACGAGGGTTGAGCGGAAGGTGTTGCGGGTTCAAGTAGTGGAATGATGAGCACAGAGAGTTAAGATGTTTGCATCGAGACAGGGCGGAGGCGGAAAGTATGTATATATACAGGGTATCTACGAAAGGAGTCTACAGAGTTGATGGCCGATGGTGAGGGTTTGGCGGCGAACAGCGATGGGAAAGTGCTTGCGGCTATGGAGCGGAAGGCTGCATTGCAGTCTTGTACGCATTTAAGAGGACGGAATAATACAAGTGCCAAAATGCCAAAAAATTAAGGCCGAAATTTGCGACCGCCCTGTCCGCTCACAGTCGCGTCCTTGTCACTGGGAATCGGCAGGACAGCGAAGTCATGTTGTCGACGACGACAAGGGCTGGCAGGGGAGGCGCACCTGTGGGAGACTTGTTCCCGCTTCCCGCTTCCCCCCACACAGCGCATCCCCTCCTGTCAACGTTGGCACACACACATACACACACGCAAAACGGTCCACCCTCACCCCTTCATGTACAGGCTCAAGAACCTCCAGACCTTTTGCAGCGGTCCCGCCTTGAGCCCACGGGCCCCCTCATCGCCCTCAAAAATCTCATCAATAGTATCCGGCCCGGGTCTCTTATCAACTTGCCCCACCAATCGAAACCCGATCGCGCTCCCCGGCTCATCCGTCCAAATCCCCCACTTGCCGGGATAGGCCCTCAACAGGACGCCCCACTCGAAGGTCTTGAGGTAATACGCGGTTTCAAACGTATCAATAAGCCTCTGTCTAAGGCGTCTCGCATTCAAGCTGAGGCCGGTGACGCCCATATCCACCAAGTCCGGGTTGACAATAACGACGCGGCACGCGGCGGCGCCCTCCACCACGACGCACAGCCTCGACGTCCGACGCGCGCGGGGCGACAATGATGAGCCCCGCGTCGTTCTCCACGTCCATCTGGACCTGCTCCATGCCGCACAGCGTGATGTGCGACGGGACGTCAGGAAAGTCGCGGCGGGCCAGGGCCGCGGCGCCCGCGTCCGGCAGCACCAGGTGGACGCGCGGCTGCGCGGCGCGCGACGCGTCGTCCAGCAGCGGGAAGAGCAGCTGCACCAGCGGCAGCGTCGACTTGAGCAGCGTGTACGTGGCGTCGCCGGCCGTCAGGTCCACCTCGATGAACAGCCGGCGCAGACCGCGCGAGAAGGCCAGGCGCGACGCCTCCGTCGCCTGCGACGACGCGTTGCCCAGCGACGACGGGATGGAGATCACCGAGCTGGGCGCCGCGGCCGGCGCCGCCGCGCCGTCCGCGGAGGCGGGGCCGTCCGGAGCAGGGGCCGTGGCACACGGGCGCGTGCGGGGGCGCGGGTGGAGATAGGGGGGAGGATGACGGGTGAGCGGCGGCGTTGCGACGCGGCCGGGCGGGCGCAAGGGGGCGGGAGGGAGGAAGGCCATTGTGGTCGATGTTTACGCTGGGGAATTCCGCCTAAAGTTAGGTCTTTCGCCTCGGCCTTTCGCTTCAGTCTTCCGGTTCGGTTCGGTCTTCTGGTTCGGTTCGGTCTTCCGGTTCGGTTCGGTCTTCCGGTTCGGTCTTCCGCTTCAGTCTTCCGCTTCAGTCTTCCGCTTCAGTTTTCCGCCTGAGACCTTTGTGTTGCCCTTCCTCTCCGCCTCGTTGATCTCTCGGAGAGGCTCTGCGCATCGGCAGGGAGCTGTGGTCAGCACCGCCAGATCTCATCACTATTTACAGTAACCATACAAATTACAGTAACAGTAAATACAGTGTATATCCCCACAGTAGTCATTGCACACAAATCTGTCCGCTGTCCAGGCCCTGGACTCCTGGACTCCAGGGAGCATCGTCCCCTTGTGCCACCCGATTTTTTCTCTTCCGCCCTTCACTTCCCCCTCAACACGCGACCCCCCCCCCCCCCTCTTCTCTCCGTCTCCGTCTTCATCCCTCACCCTCACCGCCGCAATGTCTGCCCTCCTTTCCCCGCCGCGTCCAGTGCGCACGCGATTCAAAGTCCCTGGCGAGGGTTCATACGAGCTCTGCGCCGATCTCCCTCCGCCGCCCTCCCCCGTCTACCCGCCGCCGACGCCGCCGCCGACAAAGCCCTCCCCGCCCGCAAACCTGCAATCCCCGCCGCCCGCCGCCCCGCCCTTCATCGCGGGGCCGCTGGGCCTGGCGAAGGTCACCAAGCTGTCCTTCGCCGAGCGCACCACGCTCGCGCCGCCGCCGCCGGACGCGTCGCCGACGGACGCCGCCCCGCCGGGCTCGCCGCTGGCGTCTGCCTCCTCCATGTTCAGCTTCCGCAAGCTCACGGGCCTCGGCAGTTCCCTGTCGGCCAAGTTCTCCTCGTCCACGGACGACGACCCCGCGCAGCACGTCTCCTCCGCCACCCAGTCCCCGCGCGCGGACGACGGTCCGCGCTTCCCGCCGCGCGTCGCCACGGCCCGCCGCGAGGGCCGCTGGCGCCCGGATGACGCCCCGCCCCCGCACCCGGGTGGCGTCCTCGCGTACAACGCCTCCGAGAGCGTCGTCGTCGTCGATATGCAGCTCAGTGAGGACCTCCCCAACGCAGAGCCCGCCCTCACGCTGCAGAGCCGCAGCCCGCCGTCCGCCCAGAGCTTGCATCGTGTGGGGGAGGCCGTTAAGCTGCTGGTCGGCTGTGTTAATGGCGAGGTCCTGCATTACCCGGATATCGTGTCGGCGGGCGCCGAGGCGAGTAAGAAGTCGCGCACTGTGTCGGCTGTCGCCACCCTAGCTAGTGTGGCAGGTGTCATAAACGGCGGGTCGTCGCCAGCGGTGCCGCAGCACTTTGTGTATAATAAGGAAGGCGCGACTAACTCGACGCGCGTGATCGCTGTGACGTGGGTGCCGAACAGCGCGTTTCGCTTTATGTCGGTGCATGATGATGGGGCGGTGGTTGTGTATGATTCGCGGTTCAAGCCGAGCCCCGGATCGTTGCGGGCGACGGTGTCGGGAAGTGCGAACGCCGTGCAGGCGCAGGGCGGGGGGGCGCAGGGGGGGAGCCTGGCGGTGATGACGCCGTCGTTTGATAATACTGCGGAAGGGGCCAATTCTGGAACAAGCATTGTGGGAGGACAGGGCAAGGGCTCGGAAAGAGGGAGTGATAAGGGTGGAGACAAGGAGAGTGGGGATAAGGATCGCGAGCGCAGTGGGTTGAGTAGCGGAAGCGGGGACAAGGCAGCGCCGAGCGGGGGTGGGCATAAGAGGAGCGGGAGTACAGTGGCGGTGAGCGGGGCTGGCGTGGTGGGACAGCACGATATATTGGTGACCAAGCTGGCAAAGGGGAAACGAAGCAACCCTGTGGCAGTGTGGCAGGTTGGGAAGGCGACGGTGACCGCGTGTGAGTTCTGCCCCATTGCAAACGGGGATAGCAGGCTGCTGGCGATGACTGGACGCGATGGGTACTTGCGCATCATTGACTTCACAAAGGAGATTCCGTTGCTGGCGTTCCGGTCTTACTTTGGGGCGTTCCTGTGCGTGTCATGGAGCCCCGATGGCAAGTATGTGGCGACTGGCGGGGAGGACGATCTGGTGTCGATCTGGTGTCCCGGGGAAGAAAAGCTGGTGGCGCGGCTGGAGGGCCACACGTCATGGGTGAGCGCGGTGGCGTGGGACGGGTGCCTCAGCGGGCCCGGGCGGTATCGCATCGGCTCCGCGGGACAAGACGCGAAGCTATTGCTGTGGGATTTCGCGCTGGACGTGCTGCACCATCGGTCTCCACCGCCGCGCGTTGGGACGGGGATGGTGCGTCTGCGGAGCTACGCGCGGGACGCGGGCGAGACGGCGAGCAGCAACGGGGGCACCGGGACGCTGGACCGCAAGGCAAGCAAGCTGTCGCGGCTACGCGCGCACGCGAGCGGGGGTTCGGGCGGCGGGGACGGGGACTCGGGCAGCGGGGCGAGCGTGCCGGTGAGCACGGGGCGCGTGGTGGCGGCGCCTGGAAGGGCCGAGGTGCCGATCGTGGAGCCGGTGGTGGCGCACGTCGCGCACGGCGAGCCGCTCACGGACGTCTGGTTCCAGGAGGGCGGGGTGTTCACGGCCGACGCTGGCGGGACGGTGAAGATGTGGAGCAGGCCGGCAGCGCACGCGGTGCCCGAGCTGTCGTTGCTGTCGTTGGAAGGTGGACGCAGAGCTGGTGCGGATTTAGATTAGACAGCCGATGATGATGTCATCAACGGCTTCACTGGCGCAAAACCCTCCATTTTTTTTTCATTATTCGCCTTACAGTAACGTTCTCATCCGTACTTCAAATCTTCTTACCGTTACACACAATCTCCTCGCCCCCCC